CATCGTGATATCAAGGGTGCAAACATATTAACCACAAAAGAAGGTTTAGTAAAACTGGCTGATTTTGGTGTGGCAACTAAAACAACAACATTAGGCGATTTTGGTGTTGTTGGCTCTCCGTATTGGATGGCTCCAGAAATTATTGAATTATCAGGTGCAACCACATCATCGGATATTTGGAGCGTGGGATGTGTCGTGATTGAACTGTTGGAAGGCAAACCACCATATCATCATCTTGATCCGATGCCTGCACTTTTTCGAATAGTGCAAGATGAACATCCTCCATTGCCCGAGAGTGCATCTCCGGCTGTAAAAGATTTTTTAATGCAGTGTTTCCATAAAGATAGTAATTTACGTGTTTCGGCAAGAAAATTGTTAAAACATCCTTGGATAGCAAACACTAGGAAAAATAATGTAGTTATTATTAGCACTATTTCTAATAACACTGGTGGCAATAGTAGTAATATTAATGCTAGTGGTGGTAGTAGTAGTAGTAATAATAATAATGATAGTAATAGTGGTGGTGGTGGTGGTGGCGGCGATGTAAATCGAAATGATGATGCTAATTCTAATATTAACAATAAGGAAAATATCAACGATAATAATAACATTATCAACAACAATATCAATAATAACAAGAACAACAACAACAATGATAACAACAACAATGACAATGTACCGCGTCCTGTAATATCAACAGAATACGAAGAAACAATAAAAAGTGTACAAGAGTGGAACAAAGCATTAAAAGCTTCAAAATCTAATATTAAATTACCACCAGCTTTTAATAGGCGAAGGAAAAGTGAACAAATTAAGTTACAATTGTTATCATTACCATCACCGTTATCGCCAAAATCAGAACTTCCTCAAAGATCTTCCACTGATCCGTCATCATCATCATCAACAAATTTTGCACCATCACCATCACCCTTACAATCTCCATCGACATCTTCACCAGTATCACCACTATCTGCTAGCGATAATGCTAATAGAAAGAAATCAATTGATCAAGTATCAATAGTTGATAATAATTGGGACAATTTTGTTGATTTAGGTTCAAAAAATTTAACGGTAGTTAGTACAAACAATGCACAAAATAATAGATTATCAATGGTCGATTTGCAACCTGATAGCGAAGATGATAATTGGGATGATGATTTCGATGACTCGATAACTATCACAAAAATCGCTGCTCATCAAAATAAACAATTAAATAATAAAAAAGCCAAAAAAAATAATAATATTGGTGGCGATGATGATACCAAAATGTCAAGTCCTAAAAAACATTCGAAAGGTAAAGAACCTATGGAATCATCTCAAATCAATGGTGAAACTAATATTAATAATACAAATGGTCTTGTTGACAATGCTATCAATAATAATAATAAAAACAAGAATCTTGGAATTTTAAAAACACTTTTTAAATCTCAAGAAAAACAAAATACCAATAACAATAATTCTAAAACACCTACAACTGCAGCAACAACAGTAACTAATAATGATAGCTCTAGTTGGGAGCATATCCAAGATACTGTTATACATTTATCACAACAAAATACATTAACTAAAAAAATCAAAAAAATTACTTCAAAAGGCTCATTAAAATCATCTGCATCATTTGAACCACCGTCACCATCACCATCACCATCACTGACTTCGTCACCATTATTACAACAACAAAAAAGATCTAAACCATTACAAATAATAAGACCCACATCATTATCAGCACAGCAACAACAGAAACAACCAATAAAACCAATCTATTCAACTTCTTTAACAGAAAATCACATCACAATCTTTTCATCATCCCCAAACAATACCACCAATGCAAGACCTAAATCTCCTTATCCTCCAAATCTATTTAAACAACATCGTCGTAGGGTCAGTGATTTAGAAGCCAACAAACGACCATTTTCTTATATCAATGGTCTACAAAATTCTACATCATTATCATCTGCATCGTCATTACCAGATGATAAACCCTTACCACCATTACCACGCTATAGTAAATCTCCTAATTCTGCTGGCTTAGGATTGTTTGATTTGTCATCCACACAATCATCAGATCATAAAAATCAGTCACCGTCATCATCATCATTTACAAAAGAAATAACGAAACAGTCGAAATCGTCACATAGATCATTATCAAGCCGGGTTTCAGCTCCTGTCCTACCAAGCATTGAGATACCTGATTCTTATTATGATAAAGTTCTGTCTACAAGTGCAACAAGTAATATGAGTAACGCATCACCAATCTCGCCACTTCGTGATACACCAAGTCCAAATGAATTCCAAATTTATCAAGATGATGATGATGACGATGATTATGATAATGTATTTCGTGATGAGGAAAATGATGGCACGATTTGTGTTGCTAGTTCTAGCAGTGCTGTTGTCAATAGTGCAGCTGGTGGTGATAAACAATCATTAATGATTAAATCAAGACCTACTAACAATAGTTGGCTCGCCGAGGATATAAGTGACGAAGATGATCCATTTGCAGAGATTGAGGAGAAATTTGACGAGATGGACATGGAAGCTTATATAGCTAGAGACAAATATGCTCATGCGTGTTCAAGGCTAGAAGAACTTATTAACGCGCTACTGCCTAATGAGAGCGAAGAGAGATTATTGATCACATGTGGTTTATTGATTGATCTTTTGCACGAACATAAACAACTTAAAAGTCATTTCATCATTTTTCATGGCGTGATACCGATCATTGAAATATTGGAAATATGTGTCTACTCAAGTGTATTGACCAAGCTACTGAGAATAATTAACATCATCATCGAGGATAATATTAACCTGCAAGAAAATTTATGTCTGGTGGGTGGTATACCTGTGATAATGAATTTCACCTTGAAACGATACTCATATGATATCAGATTGGAGGCCGCAACTTTTATAAAACACATATGTCACACCTCACCCATTGTACTGCAAATGTTTGTTTCGTGTAGAGGATTGAAAGTTTTGGTGGAATTTCTACAAGAGGATTACAATGACCGCAAGGAATTGGTTTGGATAGCTGTTAATGGAATCTGCAGCGTTTTTGAACTTCAGAGTCCAACTCCAAAAAATGATTTTTGTCGTCTATTGGCAAAAAATGGATTGTTAGATCCGTTGGCAAACACGCTTCACGATGTTATAAAGGACGAAGATGAAAAGGCCTTCATTTATATTAACAAGATAATCAATATATTTTTACAATTCTCACAAGCTGACACCTATGTAACTGAAGTGATGGCAACCAAAACTAAGGTGATATCAAGAATTTTTGAAGAGTTGGATGAATTGCCAGCAAACATGGTTGTCTCGTTGCTTAAATGTATAAAAAATATGTCAATGAACTCTAACACTCTGGATGCATTACAAAAAGCAGGAGCTATTCAAGTATTGACCGCAGTGTTGGATAAACAAAGTCCACCATACATCACCGAAATCTCGAATCAAGTTCTCAACACAATGTTTAATCTATGTCGTATAAACAAGTCAAGACAAGAGGAAGCGGCGAAAGCCGGGGTCATACCACATTTGCAATATTTCGCGTCTAATAAAACGCCACTAAAGCAATTTTCTTTGCCTATATTATGTGATATGGTACACACAGGCGAATTGTGTCGTGATTTGTTGTGGAAACATGATGGCTTGCAGTTCTATTTAGAATTATTGATTGATCCCTATTGGCAAGTAAATGCTTTGGAAGCAATACTTGCTTGGCTACAAGAGGAAACACAAAAAGTTGAACCAATTCTATTGCAACCCAAAAATGTTGGGCACATGCTCGAAGCATTTGTTACAGCAAAAGCAAACTCTTTTGAAAACGTTCTTGAACCATTACACATGATAGCCCAGAAATCGCCATCATTGTCATGTGAAATGGCTCAGCCTAAATTTTTCAAACGCCTATTACAACGTTTGTCACATCCAAAAGCTGTTGTCAGGCTCAACTTGTTACGTATATTAAAAACCGTTTGTGATTCGCATCCACAACGTGAAGATGTTATAGCCAAATATGAATTGTTTGACGTTATTGATAAAATGAGCAAGAATGACCAGGCGGTTTTGATCAGAGAGTTGGCCAAAGATATACTTATGCAGGGTTATTTTATTCCAAAGCATCAGGAACCTATTACACCTACTTCATCACAATTTCCAAACAACAACAGTAACAATAACGACAACAACAACAATAAGAATAATGATATTAAAAAAGATATTAAAAAAGATAGTAGTATTAAAGATCCTTTTAGTCTTGGTATATCATTATCGTCATTGCCTGTTAGCAATCCGCCAGCAACATCTTTATCGAAAGACGTTATATCTGAGGAGGAAGAATATGCTACTAGTTTTTATACCAATAGTCATGTACCGTTTACATCATTCAAAGATAATTTGGTTAACAATTCTGCTTTGCCTGTTGAAGGGTACGGCGTGAATCTGAGTTGACTATCAGCGGTTCAAGTTGAAGATAAAAGTCCTTCACAAAACATTAAAAATAATAACAATAATACTAATGAAGAAAATGACAATGCTACTGATAATAACAAAAATAACAACGAAAATCAATCAACATTAAAAAATTTACCTCAACAAAGAAATCAAACTCAAATACAACAAATACAAATAAAAAGACGTAAACGTGCTTTATCATCGCCAATCACATCTCATTTATCGACAATATCAGAACAAGAAACAGTAAAACCTAAAAGACCTTTATCGACTCCATTTGAATTATCATTGGATCAAGTGATTGAACAAGGAGGAGACAAGTATTCACCGCCGTCATCATCACCATTAACAACGTCACCACCAATGTCTATATATAATTATTATTATAAACAACAACCATCATCTTCATCGTCATCATCATTAAAAAACGCTTCAAGGAAAACTTCTTCGACTTCTATTTCCTCAACTCCAATAATACCTAATAGTAATTATAGACAACAACAGCAACAATTGCCTTCTCAAAAGAAAAGACCAGTTTCTTTTGTTTCACATCCACCAAATGGCAATGATTCAATTAAACTTCCTCGTTCAATCTCATTAAAAAATCGTAAAAATTCTCATCAACAAAAAATTTTATCATCAGCATCATCTACACATTCGTCGATTAACAACAACGAACAACATTTATCAACAATAAGATCAAGTGTATCAGCTACTTCTACCGACACAAATACTTCTACCAACTATTACAACTACAATAATGATTCAGGAGCCGTCTCACTTTTCCCATATGATCATATTCGTAAAAGAGAAAGTTCACGAAAAATTAAAGGTATAGCTTATAACAGATCATATAATAGACAAGCTATGAATGAAGAGGAGGAAACAGAATCTGTAGCACCATCAATTAATTCAATTGGTTCAACAAATATTGAAACAGAAGGTGGCGTTATAGCAATGAAATTTGGAACAAATTCTTCTAGTGCTACTACTGCTACTAATGCAAGTATGAAAGGAACAAAAAATGAACACATGGATCGTCATCATCATTTACAATCTTCAATGTTTGTATGGTTGAAAAAAAGAATGATGGGAGGTGGGAATAGTAAGATTAAGAAAGGTAATCATAACAGTGGTGGTAATAGTAATATTGGTGGCAGTAATAATAATCGAAATGATGATATTGGTCGCAATAACGAGAATAGTACTAATCAGAGAGAAAATAGGAATTGATGATTGCGTTATAAGTCGATAATTTATATATATATACCACATTGATTGATTTATTTGAACAATTTTCTTCAACTTGAACCATACTTTGAATTATTTTCAATTTTTTAATTTTTTAATTTTATTTAATGAACAATGGTTACCAAAAAGTACATTATTAATTATTAACATTAATAGTATTTTAATAAAACAATTAATAATAGTAATAGCAATAATAATAATAATAGCAGCAATTAGTAATATTAATAATAATTTTAATAAATAATGTAATTTATTGTCTTTTAATCAAATATTTGCATATATGCGAATTATTATTTTGTAAATTTTTTATTCTCTTTTATTTCATTTATGACATATATAATATGTAATATATAATAAAAACTGATTTATATATATGTATGTATGTATATGTATATATGATGATAAATAAAAAAGTTCATCCTTGAAGAATAAAATATATGAGAATGCATAATATTAGTCCCGAACGTCATACACGTCACGGGCGTCAAATTCAGTCATTGTTTTTTATAGCAGCAGTCAATTTATTTTAACATATATGAATAGGAATGAAGATTTTATCGTAAAACTTCATACCTAAGTACACACCTCATTCTACATTGCATTCTGCCCATTACACCAAAGTGAAAGAGAGGTCCCTGAGGTACAGGACAAGGTTGGGTGACGAAAATATTTTGGGGTGCAAAAGGTATTTCGTCAAATGGGCACATGTGACGAAACGTGACGAAAGGGTAAAGTCAAGTGTCAAAATTATGAAGATGACAAAAGTATAAAATTCAATTTTATTTAGATTTAATTAAAACAAAAATTTAATTTTAAACATTTTTTCTACATCGTAAATCATGTTTCTTGGTTGAATATTTAATTTTTGTACGTAAAGTTTAGTAGGAATTGCTGCTTCACATCAATTGCTAGTTTCATAACTTTTTTCAAAATCTGTAGAATCATCCGATAATTCCGATTGTTGAAATGGTTCTTCATTTACTATTTAATGAAGTGTAACTATACATCATACACAGGACATCCTGTAGCCAATTGTTAAACGAACTTTCAGATATTTTAATGTTGCAAATTCATATATTATATGGTGAATTAGAATTTGGCATCAATGAATTTTAATTTTTCATAATTTAAAATCTACAAAATAATTGGTTTATTTTATTGTGTCGTTGATTTCGTCACCCAACCTTGGTACAGGAGTTGGTAAAAGATCATATGTCTTCAATAATGACCCATGGACTTGGGTTAATAATAACAATAGTAAAAGTCGAATTTTTGTCAGTTCCCAAAGAATAGGTAATACTAACAAATGCTTTGGGTCCGAGTATTTTTCCTGCTCTGGCAATTTTTAACTTGTATTTTTATAAATTATAAAATAATTTTCTTATCTTTCCGTATTAATAAATTCCCACTAATTTATCATTTGCACAAAATTTTTTTAAAAATTATTTTAATTTTCAAATCTTAAAAATGACAACGACTGAAACAATTCAACAAGAATTAAATAAAGCAAGAATAGATTATGAGAAGGCAGTGGAGAACTTAGAGGAGTGTGAGAAGGGGAAATGTAAAGGGAAAAATTTGGATAAGTTATAGGAAGTGTTGATGGAGGGGAACTTGAGTGAAGACAAGAGGGAGAGGTGGGAGAATGGAGAGATAGACTGTTGAAAGGAAAGTAATTGTTGGAAGAGTCGAAGAAGAAATGGGAAGAGCAAGTGATATTCTTACAAAAGTAATTAACTAAATTTAATGAAGAAAAAAGGCAATGAACAAATTACAAATTGCTAAAAAAAATATGCGAAAAATTATTTTCCATTCATTCCATTTTGTTTGTTTATTTATTTGGCATATTGTTTATAACATTAACTGACTTGTGCTTTTTTTTCTCTTCATATTATCAAATGTTATTGTTTATTTCAAAGATTTTAAACGGTCGCCCTTTGACTCTGGTCAACAATGCATGAAAAAACGGAGAATTGTGAAAAACTGAAGGTCCAATGAATTATACGGAAAATTTTATTGTCCCGTTTGAGATACTTCATTCCTATCATGAACTTGTAGGAGCTATAGAATCACATGCATATGCACCCTTTGTGAGTCAAGAAAGTCATCGACTTTACATTACCTAGAAAATTAGGATGTTAGCCGTTTAAAAAAATCCTTAGCCGGCTAAACCGTTTACTACCTAAATTGGTATCTTGTTTCTATAACCAGAAGGTAACACGTAAATCCGTTACCAAATCTAGAATTTATGCATGCAGATTATTAACCGGCTAACATCACAAATGAAAATAAAGAAAATCACATCTACATACATTCTTCTTTGACACATGGAACAATCATTTCACAGAATTCATTCATAATCATACACAGAAAAAATATCAGCAGTCAATCATATTACACATGAAAATCAAGATTCAAATAACAATTTAATCAATGATGCAAAAAAACTTTTGGGGTGCTTCTTGCAAGCTGGAACCCTGCAATTTTCTGAAATCACTGAAGAAGAATTGGTTGCTATGACACATCTTTGTGCAATAGGAATCATAAAAGAAAGGAAAAGTCAGTTAGAGTTCACATCCAATATTAGTTTTGATCTGTTATCAAGTAGATATTATCCTTTCTATGTAGGTATTCACTGATTCAATATTTTAGCACACTTCAGGATTTTTTGATGAAAGAAAAAAAAACCTATTTACAACAACAAAAGGTATTTAGTTTATTTGTGATTATAATTATTTTTTTGAATTGAGTTAATAACAATAGTTGTATCAGTAATGATGATAGTAGTAGATATGATAATTATGGAAGTAATAATAACCCAGTAATAATAATAGAGCCAGAAATAATATAGACATTTTGTTTTGTTGAATCTAATAGCAAATGAAATAAGACTAAAAATTTTGTAATACTTGTTTTAAAATGATAAGTTATAATAAATGATGTAAATATATATAAACCTTGTTATAAGTAAAACATGATTTATATGTCCCATAGAATATATCCTAAATTAAATTAATTAATTATTCTATAGACTTCATAATCTTCTAACAAATGAACACTTCTATTTCCATTAAATTATTTCTATAAGAATCAACAGAAAAATTAGAATAAAAAGAATAATTGGAGCATGCTGCAACAAAACCAGACAAAGTGAACATTGATATTATCAAAGATTTCAAGGATCAAAATTTAGTAATGTGATTATTAAAATCTTCCATTTGTTATCCTCTTAATATTAGGTGATATATAGAATTACCCTATATAAAAATAGTTAATATGAAGTTAATTTACATTAGATCTACCATGGAACCTAAGAATTATAGTACTATCAAAAGTATTTTGAAGAAAGAACAAGGTGAAAAATTGCACCTTATATTTTCAAAATAAATGATACTCGGGCATTTGAAACTTATCTAAGGAAAGAAAAGATTACTTATGAAATTTACCAAGAGGAAAGAAAAATAATAAACATTAAGAAAAGAAAACAGAATGGAGATATACTATTACCCAACAAAAAGCAGAAATCCTTAGAAGAAAAATAATCTTATTATTACAATATTGATTTTTTTTTTTTACTGAAGAAAATTCACCTTTATGCAAATGTAATTAATGATCATCTTATTGCATTGCTTATCAATTATTTGAGTTGTTTCAATGAATTCTATGTTTAGGGGTGTTTTATAAAACATCACCAATTCACTTAGCTTTTGGGTAAAAAAATCAAATAACAAATGTTTCAATAAATATTTTCATCCATAATAACATTTTAAAAAAGGCTTACTTTTAATAGTGAACTTTTTTGTGGATTGTTGATTGGACTCTTGCTTTGTTTTTTACTTCACTATAAAACTTACAAAAATTAACTCTCTATTATAAATCAAAAAAGTTGATCAAATAATTGATAAAATGGAACCAAGAAAAGTCAATTCAAAAATAAAATAAACCAACTTTACTGATGATAAAAAAATATTCACAAGTAATCAAAAATCTACAGAAAGATTAAGGATTTCTAACAATTATTTGACAAAAAGACTAAACTAAATCCAAATTTTTCATTCAGAAAATAGCTATTGAAATTCGTGAATTACTTTCAGGGGGAAAGGGTGTTGCTGCTTCCACAATAAAAAACTTCTACCAATGAAAAACAAATCCTAGAAGAAAAACAGATAGAAGCAATTCAACAGTGGGTTAACAAAGAAAGGAAGAAAGAGATGGAGAATGAAGTCAAAGAAGATAATAAAAACAATAAAGATATAAATATTAGTAATAATATTATTGATAATAGTAATAGCATTAGTAATAGTAAAAGTTGTATTCTTCCCCAAGAATGCAAAAATAAATATTTATACTGATAGTCAAACAACAATTAATACATATACATATCTTACACATAATGAAATGAAAAGTATAACAAAAAGAAATTTCCTAAAAATTAAAAACAATTCTTTTTGGGATGTCATCCTTTTAACAATCAATCGTTTTAATTTAAAGGTTAAATTAATTAAAGTAAAGCACATTCAGAAAAAAAATGGAATGAAAAGGCAGGTAAATTAGCTAAAATAGGAACAAACAAGTTTCCAATATCCATTAAATTTGATAATTTTAGTTATCAAAAGTATAAACTTATGTGGAACAATTTACCAGTAGATTATCACACAAGATCTTTTATTAAGAAAACAACTGATGCATTCAACTATCAAAATTGGAAAAATTTAAAAAGAAGCAAAAATTTTAATAATGAACAATATGAATCTATTGACTAGCAGAGTACTTTTGCTGCATTAAGGGGTCATATCAAAAAACTTTCCTTGTCTAACTTCCTTCAAATTAAACAATCAAAAAGCATTTAGAGTAAAAATCTTTCAAAATGAACTCCCAATCATGGAAAATCTAAAAAAAAGACAACCAGATTTATATTCTTCAAGACATATGTGTAAAAGATGTGAAAGATCTCCAGAAATATTATCACATCTTTGGAATTGTGAAGAAGTATATGACATCATTAAAATAATTAGTATCACAATCACTAACTATTTCAAAAAGAAATTAATTAAATATCTTTCTGAAATATGGTGTTCAATACTGTATAAAATATTTTAAAACAATCAAACAATTAGAAGATGTTAATTAACACATATATATAGAAATCATCAAAGATAAAAAATTTATCTTACCTGATAAAATATATACATGGGATAATAAAGGTTCACTTGATGATTTACTAAGTGGATATATAACTTTAGATTTAATACAGCAATTATATAAAATTACAAGATCTAACTCAAAAGCTAGAAAACTAGCAATATCTTTAGCAAACATTGTTAATAAAGAACTATTTGAAAAAAATCTGGATTGAATGGTGTAAAATACAAAATAACTGGGAAAAAGAATATGGTGTTTCAATGAAAAATAAATTTAATACTAAAGGAAATAAAAGAATTAAAAGAAATACAAAAAAAAAAAATAATATTGTTAACAGCAATGAAAATAATGTTAACAATAATAACACAAATTTAGTACCAGATTGGATTCTAGTGATAACAAATCATATTAGATTTGGAAAAAATAAACTAGATTTTATTTTTGTTCGTGATACTCCACTGATATCTTTTAACTCAAAGACATAAAGTGTTAATCTTAATTGTGTGATTATTGAATCACCTGCTTTATGTAGGGCTTACAGTGGTAATGTCGCATTCTTCTATTTCAATGTAAAATAGAGAGTGAGTTAAGTAGGTTGTAGATTAATTTTGTAACATTTAACAATATGTATGATGTTCCTATTATTAATAAAATTACTTAACATGACAAAAAAAAAAATCAAAGATTCTATTAAATAATTTTGACTTTTATACCATCAAAAATGATTTTTGAGTAAATAATGAGAATACGTATCTATTTTCATTTTTACAGCTTGATATGTTATCTGTGATTTTGTCAAGGATTGACTTTTGTAATAAAGATTTACAGTTCATATTTCTTTAATTTATATTGCCTTCTCACAAACGTAATTCTATGGATAAAAGTGATTCTCATCCATCCATGAGTAATTGTTGCGATGATAAGTACACATGATGCTATATATAATACCCAAAAAATTATTCCGAGTAATCTTGAGTGCCGTAATTATTTTGTATAGTAACTAACGTCAAATTTTTTCTTTACACAAAAAAAGAAGAGTAAAATGTCAAAATTTGATGGTGACTGTGAGATTCGAACTCACGCCTCTTTCGAGACCGCAACTTGAGTGCGGCGCCTTAGACCAACTCGGCCAAATCACCAAGGTTTATGAGTTTAAATTTTATATTTTTTTGATATGCAGATTATGACAAAAAATTTATTAAATGTCTTTTAGTGTCTATATCCGCCGAATGATATTCACAGCATAGTAGACATTTGATTTCATTGGCTAAATTTTGTGACGATCTCCCTTCCAGATATCACGCAAAAATTAATATCAGAGGGAAGGAAACTTGATAGAAATAAAATAATAAATAAAAAAATTAATATATAGTATTTCTTTATTGAATGTTTTTAATACATAGGCTTGGTTTTCATTATATAGTCGTATTTTAATATTATATGGGACATGTCACAGCAAAAACCACCTCTGGGACTTTCTAACCAAAATTGATTTTTTTGCATAATAATAAACTATAACATAAGTATTATAATTGGTGAAAATATTAAACCCTATTTACATAATAAAAAAAAGAGAACTGGGTGACAAAGAATTTCTTTTTTATATGTTTAAATAGTGTGTAACGTAGTTGAATAAGGTGATACCGCAAAATGATCTACAAGTCTCAGAGGTGGTTTTTGCTGTGACATGTCCCATATGTCATGGTAACCAATTTGTTTCCAGAATTTTACTATCAGGATAAATTAATATTGCTCTTGCAATTATGTTCAATTGCTTATTGTTTTCAATCCTGGATACTCCTTATAATTAAGTATTTGCATTTCTATTTGGTAATCAATTGAGTCTTCCAATGTGATCATTGGTCTTGGGAGAAAGATATGAACTTTTTATTTAATATAAGATCCTTTATTTTTTCAGGTTTTCCTTCAACCTTTTTGGAGCCAAGTCTATGGCTAATGGTTCTCCAGTCAAAAAATGAAACGTTTCAATATCATTCCCTTTTAAGGGAAGACTTTCACCATATTGTAATTTGGCTTCTTTTAACAAAGCTACAAATACCACTACTGGAATATTTGAGGCACAAGGATTTCTATAATATCTTCGAAAGGCTTTAGATATTCCTTGATCCATGTCATTATTATCATTGCTATTGTTTAAGTTGATGTAATTTTGTATTTTTAACTATCGTCGCTTTTTCCGAATTGTAATAATAATCATTGCACAAGGTATCTAGACAAAACCACATGTTCTCTTATCAAGAGATCAACTATAAAGTTATGACCGTAGTGAATTGCATAAAAAAACGAAATTGCTTTCCCGTGATTCTTGATGATCCAACTTGCTCTTGTTTTGGTTAAAATGAGCGAAAACAGAAATTTTGTATTGATTTTTCTTTTTCATATTTTTTTCTCAATTGAGAGAAAAATTGGTCATAATTTATAACATGAATTGATTTACCCAGCCAGGTACAATTCCGGGTTTGTTTGTTTGTATAAATATATTGATTTTTCTTTTTTGCCTTGTGTCATTAAAAAAATACGAACAACAAATTTTTTAATTTAAAACTAGATGAATGCTTTATGACAGTGACTTCGTCACTAGTGTTACTTGTTATTTACTGTTTTAAAGTCTCTA